ACCCTTGGGCTTATTTTCAGGGGATTTTCCCCCATGTACAACAACCTACATTTATTCAAATACAGTCATTTCATCTTCTTCTGGTTGCTGCACAATGGTGGAAGGTGAGGTTTCACTTAACTAGGGATTATTTTTAGGGTAGGGCTTATATTACGAGCATCGTGAAAAATCCTCTAGGACTTATTTTCAGGTTAGGTCTTATTTTTGAAGAAACAGGTTACGTTCAATACTTAGGGGTCAGCTACACTGACAAATAATACAGAAAATACTCTGGGATTGGCATAGTCAAGTCAGATTCATATTATTTTCTATTGACTCCACAATGTGCAAATCTATGCAGATCAACCTGAGGATGCCCCCACCTGTTCATACTTTTCTTTAGGTTCTGGGGCAACTACTTTTTTTTGCAAGCTAATACTTTTGTCTCAGTTCAGGCAGTGTGATAACTTGAGCCAATGTCGAAAAGCATGTGCAAGGGAGAAGGAAATTGTAGATCAGCCCAGACCTCTAATAGTGGTTGTGTGCAGGAAGGGTGGACTCTCTCTCTAGTTACATTCTTGGCCCTTTGCCCCACCCCATGTAATATGCCAGGGAACAGCTTCACTGACAACAAAGGGAAAGTCAAATCCCTGGGCTTTGTTCCCTGGTTGCCTGGGTTGTGAAGGGTTAAGTCCCCACTGCTCCTGTATGTCAGTTCGTAAGCAATGATTATAGAAACTCTGAAATTTACCATTTGTTGTATTTAATCCTTCCTAAACAGTAGTTCAGGCACTGTGTGCCAAGCATAGTTTGAGAATACTGTACTACCCTTTTTCACTGAAAATAAGACAGGGTCTTATATTAATTTTTGCTCCAAAAAAACACCCTTGGGCTTATTTTCAGGGGATTTCCCCCCATGTACAACAATCTACATTTATTCAAATACAGTCATTTCATCTTCTGGTTGCTGCACAATGGTGGAAGGTGAGGTTTCACTTAACTAGGGCTTATTTTTAGGGTAGCTTATTTTTGAAGAAACAGGTTACGTTCAATACTTAGGGGTCAGCTACACTGACAAATAATACAGAAAATACTCTGGGATTGGCATAGTCAAGTCAGATTCATATTATTTTCTGTTGACTCCACAATGTGCAAATCTATGCAGATCAACCTGAGGATGCCCCCACCTGTGCATACTTTTCTTTAGGCTCTGGGGCAACTCCTTTTTTTTTTTGCAAGCTAATACTTTTGTCTCAGTTCAGGCAGTGTGATAACTTGAGCCAATGTCGAAAAGCATGTGCAAGGGAGAAGGAAATTGTAGATCAGCCCAGACCTCTAATAGTGGTTGTGTGCAGGAAGGGTGGACTCTCTCTCTAGTTACATTCTTGGCCCTTTGCCCCACCCCATGTAATATGCCAGGGAACAGCTTCACTGACAACAAAGGGAAAGTCAAATCCCTGGGCTTTGTTCCCTGGTTGCCTGGGTTGTGAAGGGTTAAGTCCCCACTGCTCCTGTATGTCAGTTCCTCTAACATGTATTTGTTAATAATGCTGTCTCATTTATTAAAATAAAGCTTGGTGCCAGTGCTGTTGCTTTAGGCCACCTAGGGGAAAAAGAGAGGAGGAAATTAGTGATCAGCTGTTGTTTGCAACTTCTTAAGGTAACTCTACTGGAGTCATGCCTCCTGCAGATCTGGACTGCTATAGCAGAACCGGGCTAAACAAGCTACAGTGGTGCCTCGCAAGACGAGCACCCCATTTAACGATGAAATTGCATTATAACAAACTTTAGCGATCGCAAAAGCGATTGCTTTACGATGGTTTCAATGGGGGAATTTCACTTTGCAATGATCGGTTCCCTGCTTCGGGAACTGATTCTCACAAAACGACGATTTCCAGCCAGCTGATCGGCAGTTTCAAAATGGCCACCGGGTTAAAAAAATGGCTCCCCGCTCTTTTCTGGGACGGATTCCTCGCTGCACGGGCAGCGAAAATGGCCGTGCTATGGAGGATCTTCGCTGGACGGTGAGTTTCAAGCCCATAGGAACGCATTAATCGGATTTTAATGCGTTTCTATGGGTTTTTTTATTTCACATTATGTTTTCGTTCTACAGTGATTTCGCTGGAATGAACGTTGTGATGCGAGGCACCACGGTACAAACAAGGGCTGATTGGCAATTTCCTCCTCTCCTGTTTGACTGGATAAAGCAAATTCAAGCAAGGACCTCCCCCTTCCCTGGTGTGATTTCACAATGGGCCCATGTAGATTTTTCCCATTGCATACTCACACCTTTACAACTCTTGCAATTTATAGTCCTCTTTTTCTAGCCCTGGAGTCCTTCATATCTGCTAACTTTAGCTGGATGTAAGGAAGTTCTTCTCTAGCTGGGGGTGCACTGGTGGTGAAGGCGGGAAAGAGACACGGAGGCTCATCGTAAAATCCAACATTAGAAGTTTTATTGTTTACAGAACTCAGTTCTTTAGGATCAAACGGATCCTGCAACATACAGTCATCCAACAAATGATATCTCTTTGAATGTATAACAGGAGGTATTTCTGGGTCACCTAATAAGGGGCCGGTCCGAATTTCTCGCGATCGGTCATTGGGCAGAGGGGGACACTCCGGACGGCACAGACCGTTCCGCAACAAGGGTGCCTCGCCCAATCTCCCTCTGGGGGTTTCTTCTGAAACTCGGGTCCAGGGCGTATGACCCTCCTCCCACCAGGTAGTTTCACGGATGCACCGTTACCGTCCATTCTAAGAGTTCATAAAACTTTCCTGGCCCTCTAGGGAAGTTTGGATCCGGTAGTAATCCTCCTCCGGTAGCCAAGTTAGGGAAACCCGTCATGATTCCAACTGGAGTCTCGAATCCAAGCATGGGTTCTGTCTGAACCCCTCGGCTCTTGCTCCTTTCTGGATTTACGTCCGTACAAATTCTAAAAGCCCGCACATTTTCCCCCTCTTTTATCTCCTCCCAAACTATCAAATCTAGCTCCTCCCCTCCTTCTTCCACAAGACACACCTCCGTCGGCTTCTCAGTTATCACTTCTGTTTGGTCAATTTCAATTAACACTGCTGCATACTCACACCTTTACAACTCTTACTGCAATTTATATTCCTCTTTTTCTAGCCCTGGAGTCCTTCATATCTGGTGTTCCTCTTTACTCCTTCACACTGGACCCTATTTCCTCCCAATCAGTAACTAAATCCAGTCCTAATACTGAAAGCTGCCAGGTAGTACAGAATCAAATATGTGTTCACTGCAGTTGGTTTGGAATGGGCAGAAGTCTCTTGTGGTGGAACAACTGTTCTTGGGCTGGTACCTCTGTCCCTTCTGTTGGCTGATTTCAGCTCTGCTGGCACAAATCTGTCTCCTTAAACAACCGCTGTGCTGGCTGAGATCAGCTTGACAGGAGAACCACAAAAGGAGCAGAGAAGGGGAGAGCTGAGTTACACCAGATCCAAACCCCTATCAGTTGAGACTCAGCTGCCATGGCAGCATAAAGTTAGGCACGGGTCAGGGTGATCCTGAGTCCAACACCCCCTAGTGGATCCCCTTTAAGAGTGGGGAGAGACATTGTGGGCCTCGGTTCAGGAGACCATGAACACTACACTCCAAGGATGCTGAAAGGGGCCACACAGGGTGGATGCCCTTATGGCAAACCCATTTTCTGGTTACTTTGGTTATACATCATTTGGCAGATGGCTCATCTGATGTTGATCCATCCTCCATGCCACCATCGGTGCTACAGGCAGCTGTTACCAAAAAAAAGTTCAGCCCTGTTTTACTTCCAATGCGTGTGTGTTTTGTGGTTATTTCATAGAAGCCTGAGATCATGGCCAGATGGCTTGGACTACAGTGTCAGCTTAGTCGGCAGTCATTTATTTATTTATTTATTTATGACGGATGGCTTGGACTACAGTGTCAGCTCAGTCGACAGTCATGTTGGCTAGGTAGAATTTCACCCTAAAGGGGTTTTGGGTGGGACAGCACATCAATCCTAGAAGCCCATGTTATCCCTCCGGAAACCTTTGCAGTCAGTCAAAGGAGTGCCATTGGTGGCATTGCCACTAATGGGACGGTCTGATCCACTGCAGTGACACCTGGTATCCAGGCATATCCAGACTCCACATCCAAAAAGATGCCTCAAATCAGGTGTCCATACCCCGTTAGCTTTGCCCCACATACATACCTTTTGCCCTGGCTAGAATTAGCTGGAAGGTCTCTGCTGAGGGCCAGTCATGAAACTCTCCTCCCCACCCATTCCATTCCCAGGATTGTTCTGTGACTTGCTTCCATTTAAGCTGAACCCAAACAAGGCAGATGAAATGTTATACGGCTGCACCCTGTCATTGTTCACAGAGATCAGGAGTTCAGTGAAAGTACAGGAGGAAACAACCTGTCCCATATTATTAGGTTTTCTGCGTCAATCAGTTTTCCACGTGTGAGTTTCGCTCATGGTATTGCTGATGTCCCTTAATTGGTCATTCCATGCTCCCTACAGGTGTGGAGAGCAACTTTGAAGCTGCAAGACTCCAGTTTGGAGATTCATGCACAAAGGTTGCTTCTGATTGGAAAAATTCCTCTGTCTAGGTAAATATGCAAAACGTGTACAGGAAGCTCCATGTGGTCCATAGGTATTTCTGTGCTTATGTAGATGTCACATATATTGCAGTGCAACTACTAGTGACATGCAGAGCTTGGGAAATTTACATTCTTTAGTCAGACTACAACTCCAAGACTCTCCCAGGCAGTATGAATGCTGGCTGCGTGAGCTGAAGAGTTGGGGAGCTGCAGTGGAAAGACAGGGACTTGGCCTATACAGTAATCCTTTCCTGGGTAGGAGAAGAGTAGAAAAGGAACAATGAAACCGAGACCTTGTTATTGGTTGTGTATTGATTACTGGTCACTTTATTTATTAAGCTGTCTCCTTCCCAAAAGGGCATTTTGTTGTTTGAGGGGAAAGACAAAATGCTGTTTTCTTCCTGCTTCCCCCCCCCCCCAGAAGCTGACTAGATGGCTGGTTGAATACTATCTGTGACTGAGTACCCTCCATCACAGCTGAGGGCAACAGGCCGTGAAAGAGGACCAGAAGCAGCAGGCTGGAACCTCTTGCTGCTGCTGCTGCTGCGTGGTGGCATTTGCAACCTGGAGTGATTGTCTCAGGCGGCAGTCACACCAGAGCAACGTTACCTGCTTCTTACCATACTTTCCATACCTTTGTTGTAATGCATTACGGCCATGTGGTATATATATACCTGGATAAGCATCTCAATGTGTTTTAACGTTAATGATCAGTTTTCTTTCATTTGAATCATTATGCTCATGTTACTGATTTATTGTCTCTCTTGTTTTATGGGGCACTCCAGCCCCTTAACTTTAATTGCAAAAAATTAAACAATGTACTATCATTATGTCAGGTAGTGTTTCCTGTTTCCTGATGGGGAGAATTTCCTCTGTTGCACTGGCACCTTTGGAAGCAATGTGTCGCACTCAATGGATTCAGCACCCCCACCCAGGGCTGTGTCACCAAACAGTAGGTGGAGCGATGCAGTATCTACCAATGCTTTTAAAGCTGGTCACACAAATTTATTAATGCAGCAGCTGCTGCAACAACAACACCCCCACCCACCAGTTGAGGCAAGTATGTAGCGAACTTTTCTGAGAAGCACTATGATAAAGCAATAAATGAACATCTACCAGTAATTTGTGAAAATAACTAATTTAGCTGAAACCTGATTAGCTCTGGATAGGTTCCCATGATAGAAATTTGACTTTATACTACAGACTGTTTTTCCATCCATCTTCATGCTTGAATCTTGCTCAGACTCAACTCTATGCTACCTTCAAAATGTGATTCTCAATTGCCTTTCATATAATCTCAGAAGGAGCTAGTGACTGACAACCTCAAAAAGCAACAAACCTCTGCTGCATGAAGCAGATAAAGCAGCAGAACTTCATTAGCTAATTACAAACTGCAACTATTTTGGTAGTTTATTTTCCAGCTTATTAACAGACAATAAGTGTTCCTATAGTTATTAAACATTATGATATTAATGTGTGGGTTTCTCTCATGGTATTGATGGACATTTGCATTTTCAGCATCATTTTGCTTCTGGTTATCAGGATGTGGAATGCCAGAGAAACCTGCTGTGGAAACAACCTAGTATAACATTCTCTAAACTCATTGTCAGAGCCTTCAATAGGCTGTGTTGATCGGGGCTTTGGCCCAGGATGCCAAATCTAGAGAGCACATAAATTTCCTGTTGAAAGGGAAGTGGACCCATCCATTGTCATTCACTGGCGGAAGGGAGCAGCCCTCCCCACCCTGAGCACAACTAGTACTTCCAGCTGCTCTTCACCAGGCAGAACCAAACACAAAACAGGTGGGTTCAGCACAAAACCAATGTGGTCACAATGTGCTCAGATCCAGGCATTCCTCCCTGGTCCTCCATAGTCTCCCCATATATGCCAATTACATGGCAGCCAAGCTTCACCAATAGCTTAGCAAAGCCCCAGGTGCTGAAACTGTTAACTGTAGCTCTTCTCATGAGTGATCTTTTAGATTAGGGTGCTTCCTTGCTAACATTTTTCTTCACAATTGCAGTTTTTTTTTAAAATGGGAAATTCTCAACTTGTTGCCAAAAGATTGCATCCAGGTGTTTTCTGCATTGTCCGAGTGTATCTCTTCTGATTAGATTTGTGGTGCTTGCTTTAGCTGTAAAATGAAGTTGTAGCAATTTTTATTCAATGTGACCAGGCACAATGCCATTAAAGCCCTTTCATGATTTGTTTGTTTGTTTAACGTGCTTAAATCAAAATTTTCCTGTTTGTGAGTTCAGCTTCTTTTATTGTTTCCATTGTCAGTGCACCTGAGGGATTAGCATTACACTGTCACTGAGTCTAGCAAGCAACACATCCTGTCTGATCTCTAGCAACTTGCTTGTGTTGACCAAGCAGTCAAATGTTAAGGCAGGGGAATTTCCATAAGTAATTTAGCTGCTGAGTATGCAGGATTTTCATATTCTGATCGGATGTGACAGTTTCGGTCTTCAGTCTGTTCACAACATGACTAATAAGCATTGCAAATATTTCTGTGGTGGACAGTTAATGTAGGTCTAGTTCCCCTTTTTCTTTGCTATCTTTGATTCAGGGACACGTTTACAACAGAAATAAAAAGCAGAGAAAGAAATCCTATGTACCATCCTTAAAAATTCTACTGAAAAGTCCTGTGAATGACTCTTTTATGTTGAAATAAAAAGGGCTATTGCACAATTTGGTGTTAAATGTTTTGACATGCCTGAAATACTGATCTTCCTCACCATTGTAGTGCTGACTGAAATGAAATCAGATGATTTCATTAGCGTGGTATCTGTGTTTGTGAGAGAACTCCTTAACAACAATGTTGTCTTCTGAGATAAAAGTGTAATTAGGGGCAATCAGAGACATTTTGCTGCCTGAAACAAAGAACAAGAAAGGATCTGGCTCCCATTTCATTGGCAAAAATCTCAGTAGCCTGGCCATTGAAACCTATTTCAACAGTTGTGACATGAACAGAGTCTTCACTAGAACTACTCTCTCACCAGCTCTAGGAGGCCTATTGTGAGGTGCGAATAACGACAGCTCTAGTTCTGTTTTCACAAAATCATGGACTACCATTCCCATAATCCCCAACAGGATTATGCAAGTTGTAGTCCTAAACAATCATCACCTCTTTTCCAAGCTCTGGGTAATATGTAAGACTCTGCAAGCAGGAAAATAAAGCTTTTTTTTCTCAATTCAGCCCCATGTGCAGGAGGTTTTTTTTGTCTTCCATTCAACCTTAAACCTGTCATTATTATAAGAAAAAATGGTGTTATATCTGTGTTTTGTCTGCCTTACATCTCCACACTTTATCTTCACTCTAAATCTAGTATGCATAAACTGGCTTGGTACCTTTAGCAGCTCTTTCTTTTAAAAAGCAAGCTGTCAATGTTTGGAGAGAATTGAAAAATGCACGTTAGATTATCAGGTATATTTCCACATTGAGACACAATCACTCAAGTGGTTGATGGAGAAGTTGCGGTGAAATCATTGTTTAAACTATGCAGTGAAGATCCATCTAGAGGGAGACAGAAAGGCAGATCTCTGCCCCAAAGGGACTGAAGGAAACTAGTACCTTTCTGGTGGACATGGCGGTCGCCTGTGTTTCACAGGAAGCGGTGGTCTCAGAGACTTGCCTGTCTATGACTTGCAGCTGTTTCAGCCACACATGTGAACAAAGCAACTGCAACAAGAAGTGATGCAGACCTGCAATTGCTGACTTGCTAAAAGGAACATCTGTCCACATGCTGTCTGATAAATGGTTGAGCCATCTTCCTGCTGTTGTTTTTTTTAATGAACGGAGATAGTAGCTCATAAATCTTTACCTTGGATTAATCAGTAGGAAAAGCAAGGATTGGGTTTATCTCAAAGAATTTCACAGCTTGCTGTAGCTTCTCTTTTGTCCTCCTCCTCCTCTAACATGGCTGGGAAGTGTTGGCAGTTGTATTTCCAGAGAGAGACCGGGGTGGGGGGTGGATTCAATAAAAGCCACAACCTGTTTGTGCATATAAAATCTAATCAAAATATGTGGAACCTGTTGCTGAGAGGCAAGCATGGCAGCAGTTGCAGCACCAATAAAGATTTCTGTGCCGGTTGTCAAGCTGAATTTTCACAGGAGGAAAATGCGGGAAGCATCATGGAGTGAGCTGCGGAAACCAGACGTCAACATAAGAGGGATTAAAATGAGCAGTGCTGTTCATTAACAGTCCCGCTGTTTCTAACCGACAGATGCTGCAAATCAAATTTGGTGTGCTATCCCTCCTGATATAATCATAGCGTTTCCTTCCTTTCCTTCCCTGTCACTGAAGCTGATGGATTACACCAAAACATTTCACTCTTTTTATCTAGTTTCATTTGGCTTTATTTTATTGAATCTTACATGCCTTTGCAGGTCGTGGTCCTTTCGTTTCTTTGCCCAGAAGGTTGGAGATAAGTGCACAGCATCACTAACATACCAAACTTTAAAGGAAAAAAAAAACTTTTCTAAACCCTGGAAGCTGGAGTTTGTAGAGATGAGACTTGACGCACAAGCCAATGCTGAACTGGAAGGATTTTGGCTCTGTGGCCAAGCACATGGTTCACACGTAGAAGGCCCCAGGTGAATTCCTCGGTATCTCCAGGTGAGGCTGGGGAAAGGCTCCAGCCTTTGAAATTTTGGAATTTCTAGTTGGTGCGAACAGTACTGAGCTAGGTAGCTCTGTGTAATGCAGGTTCATATGTTGCTATCAGGGCTTGAAAACGTTTCCCCTTTTGGGGGGGTGGGGGACTATAATTCCCAGAATCCCTGTGCCACCATGGCCAAAGATTTCAGCTGGAGGATTCTGGAAACTATACTCCAAAAAAGGAACTTCCCCAAGCTCTGGATCCTTTGCATCTTTATTCAGAAATGTGTCTCACCGTGTCCAGTATATTGTGATCCCACCTAAGTGTGAATAAGATTGCAGCCTTACATTCTGCTTGTTCCTTGTCAGAAAGCATGTTCGGTCAGGATCAAAGCTGTGATGGAGGGAACAGGATGCTGGACTGTGACCAAAGAGACCTGGTTTTGAATCTCTGCTAGACTACAGAAGTGCACATAGTATAAGTGCTTATAAGCCCAATATATATAATTGTGGCATAATGAGAGACACATATGAGAATACTGTACCAAGTTTGAACACTCAAATGGTAGGATAGAAAGGTAATAAATCACAAAAGTTCAGGCCTTTTGGGACAGAGTGAGCAAAGGTGTTCAGTGATGACACACGGGAATATTATCAAACATATTTGGCTGATCCTCTCCCAAGGCCAAACTGATTTGTACCTTGCTAGTGCTAGAAGCCACTGGCAATGGTGCGGCTGCTATTACAGGTGTGTTCCATTTTAAAGAGTAACAGATTTATATTGTACATGCTTTCAGGAACCACAGATTACCTAATGAAGCTGACTCTAGAAAGCTTGTTTATTTGTTTTATTTCTCCCAATAAGGTAGCTCAAGGTAGCTCACAGTATTAAAAAGAATAGTTACAACCACAATAAATTATATATTAAGAAACAATTAAACTATGACATGTTTTAAATAATGCCCTGCTTAGTCCTTCCAGTAACACAAGACTGTGGCTTTTGCTATGACAGCTACCCCTCTGGGATAGGATGGAACCAGAGCTTCGAAAAGTGACTTTTTAAAACTACAACCCCCAGAATCCCCTACCGGAACAACTATTGTTGGCCACGGAACTTCATGTCCACAGATATAACTTTTACAAGTAGGGAATGCTACATTCATTCAATTGCCCCTTTAATTCAGGACTTCCTTCTCCATACCACTCCCATTCCTTAACACCAATGCCATAAGGCAGTGTAGAAAAGCAATCACACTAGAGGCTTTAAAAGAAAATTCTCAGAATTTATTAGATCAGAAAAAGAAGCACCTTGCATATCTGCCAAAGGAATGCTTTTTCTAATTTTTTTTTTGAAAGAGAAAGAATAAAAACCATTTACTTACAGTTCTGAACAGATCAAACAGCAACACTGACAAACATAGCTGCTTCCGGCACAGGCCTCAGCAAACTCTCTGTTTTCAATAGACTGACTGAAGAGGGGGGGAAAGGCTGAGCAGACAGAATTCAGAAGCAGGAGAGAATGGTTGGTTACTCTTTTTCCAATTATTCTAACAGTACTTAGAAGCAATGAATTCAATTTGCTACATTAAAGGTAAAATTGTTACTTCCACATTAAACAGGATGCCCTCACCTACGCTGGGGAGAATAATATTTTGGAAGTAGCATTTTAGCTTTTAAATTGTTATTTTAAAATGTTACTCCCTGTATGCTTCTATTTGCTCATCTTCCTGTTTAACACAAACATCCTCCTGCATCTTCCCCTGCCCCCTCTCATTTTCCCTTCATTTCCCACCTTTTCTTTCACACTTGAATTGTCCATTTCTCCCAGGATGTCCTTCCTTTCCCCACCAGTGTTTTCCAATTTTGCTGTCTGGCCTTCCCTTTTCCATGGTACAGCACATGGGCAGGAGGTGAATTCCTCTCATCCCCTTGCTCACAATAGCATAGCAAGTTTAAAAAAGCTCTAAACTCACAGAACCAATTTATTTACTCTCAATGACTAAAATCTACCCTGTTTCCCCTAAAATAAGACCTAACCTGAAAATAAGCCCTAGTATGATTTTTCAGGATGCTCGTAATATAAGTCCTACCCCCAAAATAAGCCCTAGTTAAGTGAAACCCCACCCTCCACCATTGTGCAGCAACCACATGACTGTATTTGAATAAATGTAGATTGTTGGACATGGGAAAAAAAACATCCCCTGAAAAGAAGCCCTAATGCATTTTTGGAGCAAACATTAATATAAGACCCTGTCTTATTTTCGGGGAAACAGGCCCATTTAAATCAATCATTTTCTGAGAAGCTGACTTACCAAATTCCCACTGATTCAATGTATTTACTTTAGTTGCCACTTATTATTTTCTTCCAGCCATTGTGCTGCATACCTTTGCTTTCCCCTCCTCTCTGCCCAAGTCCCCTTCCCCGTAAACATGTTTTGTTCCCTTTCAACTGTAAGACTGTACAGTGTGTGCTTAAAGAGGAAGGGCATCATATTGCTACCATCTGCCCTTCTTTTCCCATGCCTCCTGCATAACCCTTTTTACCTTTATGGTAGATCTTTGGCTTCCTCATTAACATCTAATTTTAGGTATTTTCACATAATCACAGACAAACTTCTCCTAAAGATATACTAGGGGAAATCAGAGTGGCTTTTCTGCAAACCAACAATTATCATTCTCCTTCCCTGAAACACTTTTTTTTTTTGGGAATCACCTGCCCCTTACCCAGATTATATACTTTCAATCCATGGTAGGGGTTGAAAGATCTCTCAGGCTGCATTAAGTTCTGGAGGAACTTCAGTAGTTCCATAGTTTCCTTGATCTTCTATTAGATGCCCATTTGACACATCCTGGTACCCTCTGCTCCTGTAGTGCCAGATTTTGTAAGCTAGGAGAGCAATGACAACAGCCAAGACAGCAATCACTGACACGGAAATCCCAGCAATGGCACCTGCTGATGGTCCTGAACTATCTTGCCCCTGGAAAAGAAGAGCCATCTGCTTCTCATCTGTGACATTCGCCACCCTCCAGCTCCCACTGGAGTGCATTTTCACCCAGGCCAAGCTACCACCAGAGCGCACCATGATGGTTTCAGGAAGGTCAGCATTGGCGGATGGCACACGCGAGAAGGGTGGGAGCTTGATGGGGGCTAACTGCTGGGCAAAAAGTGTCCCAGCCTGCAGGCAATAGAGGATTTCACAGCCATCACTAATGTAGGCTTTATGTTGGCTGTGCCCTGTTGGGCATTTCATGGGATATTTGGTAGAAGAGTCCTGGTAGAAAAAGTCTTGGAGGATACCAGGGCTCTGTCCCTTTAGTAAGCCAGCCAAAGGGTTCCCAGACTGACAGCTGAAGAAGCCACCAAAGGGTACGGCAAAGCGGGATCCCATCTCATAGTCACTGCTGACGCACACTTTTAGATTTTCCAACAGGACCAGTGGGAAGAAGAAGGCTGGGCAGGCATAAGTGCTGGTGACAGGATTCTCATTTCCCCGACTGTACAGGCCTCCAAAGAGGAAGCCTGAGTTTTGAGGCACTGGGCCTGTAGCTGCACACCAGTAGGCATTCAACTTCACTGTGGTGGAGTAGTAGTGGATGCCACAAACTGTCTTACAGCAGCTCAGCAGGAGCCAGCAGGAGTGGCACTGCCTGTGGCATTCTGTCTTGGGTTTGCTGGTGGTACGCTGTTCTCCATGCAGCAGGACAGCAGAAAAGTTAGCTGGGCAAGAGTAGTCGCCGGTCAGTGGGTTCTTGATACGGTAGGGCTGGCATGTCTCCTCAGTCCCTTCGCCGGACAAGCCGTGGCACTCCTGGAAGACGCCCCCAAAAGTGAAGTTAGTGTTGGGTTGTTGGCAGGACCCGTCGTCCACATTAGCCTGGAAGTTGAAATTACTAGAATCAGGCTTGACACAACCCGGGTGGGTGTTCACAGCATAGTAAAGGCGGATGGCATTTTCCACTGCGGCGGCCACTCGCTTAACCGTAGGTTCAGGCAGTTCTGGCAAGGCCTCGGCCGTGATGAGGAAAGGCAGAGGCAGCCCAGACTTGCCTACAGCCACTAAGCCATTGGGGATGCCCTCTTGCCACTTCTGGAGGGTGATGCCAGGGTAGAAAGGCATGCTGCCCCAGCTCTCGACCTTGGAATCCACCGTGTTCTCCAGGTAACTCTTGGTCAGATCATCCCAGGCCTCCAGAGAGAAATTGATGCCAACGTTCACTTTGCTGAAAAAGGTAGCCGACGCTGAGGCCGTGATGCCCGCCTTCTCAGACTCCTTGTCCAACATAAAACTCCGCTTCACCTGGTCCTCCTGCAGGAGGCTGGCTCCAGCGTCTACACTCGTGAGGACGTGCGTACCATAGTTGAGGACTAGCATCTCTGCCAGATACTCAGCTCTGTGGCTTTGGTTGTTCTCCAGCTGGTTGCCTATGTCCACAAGCTGATGGCGAAAGTCCTTGTGCAAGGTGAAGGAAGGATGAGTTTTCACGGAGTAGATGTGATACCGTGCTTGCACTCGAGTGGTGACCGTCTCATCGTAGACGTTGTGCATCTTGGTCTCCTGGGAGCTTGCTGAGAATTTGCCATTGAGGACAGAAAGGTAGGAAGCCTCAGCATTGATGGATTCAGCAAAGGCATCCGTGTAGGACAACCAGTCCTCAATCAGCTCTGAATGCACTTCTACTGTGCTCTTCTTGAGAGGCACCACAAAGATGTCATCGGGAATGAGGTATTGGCCATCTTCTGTGGCCCTGCACTGGGAATAGTTGAGGCTCATCACCCTGCCCATGTCCACATTCCGTAGGTTGTCCCAGCCACCTCCAGGCAACACTTCCAGCACTTTTTCCTTGAAGCCTTGAAGCCTGCAAGCTTTGAAGCCTACATCTTCTTGAGCTCCAGCGTCCCCTGCTCTCAGGAAAACCAAGAGAAGCCAAAGCCAAAGAGACATGCTGGGGAAAAGGAAAGGCTGCCCACCTGCACAGAACCAAAAAAACCCAAAAACCAGAGAACCTTATTAGTTGATGTGTCAACAGGTTTATTACTGCCAGAGATACGAAAATTACTACTACTACTACTACTACTACTACTACTACTACTACTACTACTACTACTACTACTACTACTACTACTACTACTAGCAGTAGCAGTAGCAGTAGCAGTAGTAGATCACACAGAATATCCCAGCTAGCAGGTCCATAGTATTCTGGTAGGTGTAGTCCCAAAAAGTTTTTTTTTTCCCTTATATCTCATCATGGTACTGTATAATTGTTTCTGGAGTAAAGTCATAGAAGTGTTCTCCGCTGGCAAATTGGTACAGAAGGGTAGGCAGAAATGAAACTGGGTGAGTGTTGCAAAATGGCAAAGAACTGCACAGAAATCTGTCACAATGCAATTAAAACTTAAATGTATTCAACATAAGTAGTAACCACCACTTACAATGGAGAAAACTGGATGATCACGCAGTCATCGTAGCACTGCTAAACAATGTTAGTTGGTCAGGGAGCCTACAGAAAAAGCATTATCCTTGCAACAGATTACAAGGGTTAAAGCAGACCTGTTGCTATTTATGTTTTTTTTAAAAATTGTTTAAACAAGCAGGTTCTGATTTGGAGAAAGAAGCAGCCACTGTCTGCTAAAATACAAGCCAACCCCCCTTCTCACTCAAGCAAGCAAGCAGGGTGAGGCTCCTCACTGGCGGGGGGGGGAGAAGGGGGTGCTGGACTAAATGGGCCAATGGTCTGATTCTGTGCAAGAATAGCTTGGAGAAGTGGACTAGAGCTTTCAGAAACAACTATGCGGTGAGGGGGTGTTCTGGGAGTTGTAGTCCCGAACAGGAACTTTTCCAAGCTCTGAACACGGCTCTCCCTCTGCCGCAGGGTGTGGGCAGGCCTGCACTGAAGAACCGAAAGCCCCACAAGGACGCTCGAGCGGATGCGCCACCCACTCGGAACTTGGAAATGTGACTTTGGGTAGGCTACGAAAGAGTCATGCTGGGTAGGGGATTCTAGGATTTGTAGTCGCAAAAAGTAACTTCTTCGAGTTACACGGCAGCTTTCTATGGCCCTAGGTTTCTAACAAAGAACCTATACAGCCCTGAGCTTCTTTTACCTGACTTGGGTCTCTCCAGGTCCTCTTTGTCCGTCGGCTTCCTTTCCACCACAGATGATGGACCGGTGATCTTTCTGTTCTCAAGCGCTTTGCAAAGCAAAGGTCTTCTGCTTATATGCTCTTTCCACCTCGCAATGGCCTCGGTTACAGGAATTCGCTTTTTTTGTTTTGTTTTTTGAAACAGAGCCGGCGCCGGGCCAGAGAAAGAGGAACCTCGACGGTCCAATCCCGCTGCTAGTTTCGTCGGGCTTCAGCCCCGCCAGGGTGTGGCCGCGGGGGGACCTCCGGGCCCGTGAGATGCATCACCGGTCATGAGACCTTTTGCCAAACAAAGAAGGGGCAAAACCCATCTCCGCCCCGAAGAGTCCCTTCGACGTCGTTCCCCCCTTGGGCAGCTTTTGCGGACTCCTTCCTCTCCCTTCCCTACGAGGCCCGGCTCTCTTGCCTTTTGGGAGTCCCCTGGAGTTTCCCCCCGACAGAAAACGAAAACGAAAGGACAGGGCGTTCACGAGTTTACCTCTGTGTATGTGTGTGTGTAAAAGAGGGAGGGAGAGGCCGGGAAATTCCTAGCCTGAATTGGCGCTGTTTGTGCCCCGACGTCCAACCGATGGAATAAACTTGCTCCCGAAAAGGACCCTGCCCTGTGGGGAATAGTCCATCTCTCCCTTGTCTTGAAAAAACCCTGTCAGGATACCTATAGGTGGGAAACAACTTGAGGGCACATGATAAGGACAAGAAAAGTTGGGAAAGGTGGAGAAAAGGTCACGCAAAATAATGGAGGGGCTGGAGAAACCACGTGCAAATACTGTACAGGCAAAGGATCACCATGTTTGGGGTGGGGTGTGTGTGTGTGTGTGTGTGTGTGTGTGAGAGAGAGAGAGAGAGAGAGAGAGAGAGAGAGAGAGAGAGAGAGAGAGAGAGAGAGAGAGAGAGAGAGAGAGAGAGAGAGAGAGAGAGAGAGAGAGAGAGAGAGAGATGTGCTGTTGCTGGCGTCTTGTGGCAGCCCTAATAGGGTTTTCAAGGTATGTGAGATATTTAGCAGCAGCATCCCCTCCATGAATTTCCATGGCCAAGGAGGGATTTGAATCTAGATCTTTCAAGTACTAACTTCACTATCATTCTGTCCACTACATCACACTGACTCTCTTGTGTTTAGCTCAGCGGAGGGGTGGGTGGGAAGGAAAATAAGAGGAGACGTAGTATACAGTATTGTATATCATTATGGTTTGAGGAAGTGGTAGGGAGAAGTTTTGCTAATACTGGAACTAGAAGTTATTCACTGAAATGGAATTACGGGAGATTCAAGATAGATAAAAGGAAGTAGTACTTCTTCACACAATGCATAATTCATCTGCGGAACTCCATGCCACATGATGCAATGATGGCTGTCAACTGGCTGTCAACTTGGATGGCTTTAAGAGAAGTTTAGATCAATTCATGCATAGCAGGGCCTTCAGTGGCTGCTAGGCAAATGGGTTACATAGTACATCAACTCCAGTATCACAAGCACTCTCCCTCTGTGTATCAGTTGAAAAAAAAACACAAGACAAAGGGAGAAGTTGTGTTCATATGGACACATTTCCTACAGGCCACTGGTTGGCAACTGTGTGGATGGAGGACCCTAATTAGGTAGGCCTTTATCAGCAAGACTCATGTTCTATATTTATCCACAATCTATAAAGCAGGTTATATGCTCCCATGTAATTTTTGTACATCCACGAAGTCAAGAGTGGGTGTGGTTAGAGGGATGGTGCTGGGACACTGGAGAGCCAGAGGCAGTTTCCTACTGAGCCACAAAACTCATCAGGTGTCTTTATTAGACGAATGATTCTCAGCCTCACACTTCCCTTCTCTTGAGCTTGTGAGGGGGAACACTGGTCTACCAGTGCAAACAGTACATGAGCCATTGGGTTAAAAGACACAAGTAAGGCTGTAGGATAGATAGCCCATTTAAAGAGTAACCAGGATGATCATTCTGGTGAGAGGAAAAGCCTTTGTGATTGTAACACTTGTGTGAAAAGAGACCACGGGTGCCTTGTGTAGAGGGAAAATGTCAACCAGGGCAGCTACCAGAAGTAGGAGAGGATATGGCCCCCTTGTCTCTAAGGTGGGACACTGATACATGGCAACCTCTGACTCAGAGGCTGACTACACAGGCTGCTTAGTCTGCTGTTTGAAGTGCTGCAGGGATGGGCTGATGCACTCTTAAAGACGGTGATCAGATGAAATCTTTGCTAGAGCACACCGTCCTGCCCCCAAAGCATTCCTACCCTCACTCTTCTGGCCTTTGTCAAGGGGCTTTTCTGGTGTGGGTAGGATCTCTCTGGTCTGGATCAGCTCTACATGTGATCACTGGCAAGCCTTCCTCTTTCAGTTTGACAATATAAATGACGTGGCATAATAAGTAAGCCCGTTCAGGATATTGGCAAATTAATCACTTCTCCTGCTCATCAGAGGGCATGAGAAGGGGAAAAGGTTTTTTGACTGCATGTATACAAATCACTGATGCAGTAACTTAGTTATATAAAGTTAAAGAAAATCTTTTCTTTGTTTCACCTTAAAGGGCTGGTTAAGAAACGACCCCACAGTTGAATCAACAGCTGTAGCTTTGGCTGTAGGCTTTGGAGAGGAATCTTATCATGAAGAACTTGCAATACTAGAAAGTGAAGTGAAAGCTGCTCTGAAAATTTTAGGAAGAAATAAATCACCATGCGTAAATGGAATACTGATAGAATTCTTTCAAGCCACAGACTGGATCTGTCAAGATCCTAACAAGAATATGTCAACAAATATGGAAAACAAAACAATTGCCTACAGACTGGACATATTCAATATATATTCCAGTCCACAAGAAAGGAGATGCCAAGGAGTGCAGTAACTATAGGACCATTGATCTAACATGCAAAGAAAGTGATGCTCAAGGTGTTGCAACAAAGGCTTTTACCTGACATGGAGCAAGAAACGTGTGATGTTCAAGCTAGATTCAGTCTGTGCTTTATAGATTTCAGCAAAGCCTTTGACTGTGTGGTGTTGAGAATTTTGATTATAACGTGTATTCTCATAACATCAGCAGAGTAAGGCGATATTGGTTAGCAGAGACACTATGACACTGAGAGAGTAAAACCAACAGCTTAGTCTATTTACATATATACATAGAGAATAGACATTCCTCTGGCAGTATGACATGACATAAAGCAACACACAGCATAGAAAAAAGTGATTTGACTTACAGCAGATAAAGAAGTTCATTTTACACAGGACTTAAGTACAGTTCTGTGACCAATCAGAAAATACATTACTTCATTTTCTGTTACACAACGTTTCATCATGTACCACAGCTATACAACATTAAGTCTTAATCCTTGATACCACACCTCTATACAATATAGACATGACTCAGGTAAAATCAGCCATTTTACATTTAACTATACAACATTAATATTTAATACATGTTCATATCAAAATCTCAACATGTGGATCATGAAAAACTATGGATAATTTTGAAAGAAATTGGTGTGCCTCAGCATTAGATTGTCCTGCAATGGAGACACAGAATGATTTTCTATAGGCAAAGATGTCAGACAAGGATTCATTTTATTTCCCTGTATGCTGAATCCGTATCGTATGAAAAGCTGGACTAGATTCAGATGAAGGAGAATTGAAAATTGGTGGAAGAACATCCAAAATTTAAGATATACAGATGACAACATCTTATTGGAAGAAAGCAGCAATGATTTGAAAAGACTTTTAGTGAAAATGAAAGAAGAAATTGGCAAAGCAGGATGGCAGTGAAACATCAAGACCAAAATCATGCATGCAGAAGAATTACACAGCTTTAATTTTTACAATGAAGAAATTGAAATTGTTAAAGATTTTGTATGTTCAGTCTTCAATCCAAATGGAGACTGTAGCCAAGAAATCAGAAGAAGATTTGAGTCTAAGTAGGGCATCAATGAAGGAATTAGAAAAGATAATAAATGTAAGGATGTGTCACTGGAGTCCAAGACCAACATCATCTGCACACTTGTACTTCTGATCTCCATGTAGAAGTGTGAATGCTGGACAGTAAAGAAAGCTGACAGGAAAAAAAATGATTTGTTTGAAATATAGTGCTGGAGGAGCGCTTTGCCAGAAAGATGAACAAGGGGTCCTAGATCAAATCAAGCCTGAACTACCTCTGGAGGCAAAAATACTGAAGCTGAGGCTGTCCTGCTTTGGGCACATCATGAGAAGGCAAAATTCTTTAGAAAAGACAATAATGCTGGGAAAGATGGAACGCAGCAGGAAAAGAAGACCAAATACAAGATGCATCGACACCAGAAAGCAACTACAAGCTTTACAGGAGCTGAGCAAGACTACTGAGGACAGAACATTTTGGAGACGATGCTATTTTTGGGAACCACAATTCCCCAAATCCCACAGCCAGCTCTGGATTAGTCTCTGTTCCCAATAACTCAGTCATCCATATCATTTGGCTGTGCAGGAAGGAGAATGTTACCACATGCGAGGTGCACACCTATTCATGGGAATTTGTTGGTATCTGCAACAAAATGTTGTAGTGAGGAATGCTCCTGTTCATGACACTCCACTCCATTTCTCCTCCTGCACAGTTTCCCATCTCCCCTCCCACTTCCAGGGTTAAAAATTCCTATTTGAGAGCAACAGAATTCAGAGACAATTAACATTACAATGACCCATTCATTTACCATCTGTTAATTATCTTCTTATTGTGGGGATCCCCAAAACACTTTGCAAGAACTACATGGTTTCCTAGACTAGAAGGAGCATTGTTTGAAAATCAGCTGTGTAAGCATGCAGCAGATCAGGAAATGTTATATAGAATCCCCTGAAAACATGGCCAGTGGCCCTGTTGCCCAGGGGAGTGGGAAGCTGTAGTCCATAAAGTGAATGCATCCACACTCTTCTCAGCACGAATTAGATGGGCTGCATTAATGCGCAAATGCCCAGAGAGAAATCCAGTGTAGATATTTTTACATATCCCTATGGTTCAATACAACAAATGTGTGGTATCTCAGCCACTTAAGGGTGAAGGTGAAGTCCCTTTATTTATATATCCCAGCATCACAGGTCCTGCCACTATTCCAGTCTCAATTGCTTGCATTTTTAAATGGCATTGATATGCTTCTTGTCTGCCAAAAGGCAGCGTATGTGCATCTCCTCCCCATTTCATCCACACAACCACCCTGTGAGGTATGTCGGGCTGAGAGAAAATGATGGGTCCAATGCTCCCCGCAAGGGTTCATGGGTCAACAGAAACAACCACCTGGGTCTCTTGCATCTCAGTAACACTCTAGCCACTATCCTGCAATGACTCTTAAATATAAGCCATACAAATATGGCCCAAATGTCTTTTTTCAAGCACCCTTCTGTTGCACATCCGGCCTTCTAATTTCCTAGCTAGAATCTGTTAACTGTGCAGGCATTCAGTGAGTGGTCGTTGGTT